TGCCTTGAGGGAGAGGGTACTAGTGTGTGTAGATGCCTGGTAGGGTGGAGCTTAAGTCCAGGGTGGTGCTGTTTGCAGGGGCAATGCACATGTGCAAGTGCCCTGAGTACCTCAGGGGTCTGTAGGCCTGTCCTACTGTCCTCCTGGTGTTCAGATCTCTCTGGGCTCCAGGAATTGTTTGCCTGGATTCCACTGGTAGACCCACAGAACAGGGGCTTCAATGTCGAGAATGCAGTGTCCCAAGGATTTCTATGTTGCCCACCAGTGAGTATGTTGGTGGGAGTGATCTAATATCTGGCTGCTAGAGGGATCCTGGATCTGGTGCTCTGCATGTACTCACTTGAAGGCGCAATCACTTGCTTATAGGCCTAATCAGAAAGCACAGGGGTTCCCCCTGTTCTCTATTCTCAGATTTGGGCCCTCATGGGCAAATGAGAATGTAGGACATCCATCAGCTCATTGGTTTCCAGTGTTTGGCCGCTAGGCATGGAGGCCTGTACTTGGGGTAGCTGCCTCTGCAGTTTCGGTCACCGAGCTTAGAGGCCCTGCTTAGGCAGCTGTCACCCGCTGAAGCTGCAGCTCTGTGAGGACTGCATGTACTGTTTCAGTGACTGAGCTCAGAAGCTCGGGCTCGGGCAACCACCAAGGCTTCAGCCGAGCAGGGAGACCCATGCTTGGGGCAAGGAGAAGTGCGGGGTAGTTGAATATTCCTCACTGTCAATTCCTGCCGATGTCCCCGGGTGATCTGGATCCAAACTGTCCGAACTCATGGGTAGACCCTTCTTGCCCAGGAAGCCTCAATGTGGATGCTTCAGCTGCCCCTCCACTCACCAATTTTAGAGTTTCGGATCCTGTGCCCCTCAGACACGGTGCATGCTGGTAGCCACAATCTTGGACTGCCTGGGACACTCTTATTTGCAGAGTCCATACTCAACAGTGCGCATTTTCAACTTACTCATGTGGGTCCCAGATACTAAGAATATCCATTTCACAATGAAAGATATACTATCATTTATTCTGATTTCTCTCTAGATAGTAATTACAAAAAATGTGTAACAGCAAAAGGAAGTGCCCACTAGAGGATATGCAGCAAGTGCCTGGATGCCTGTTACGTTAGTCAGAGGACCTAATATATTACGTATTTCATGAATATGTATCACTGTTTGAGTACTTGTGGAGAACCTGTATCCCCAGGAATGTTACTTGGCCATGAAGGGTGACTTCATTAGAGAAGTTCCTGCAGGTTGAGAGTATTGTGAGGATTTGACACACAGTGTATCCTTAAAGTACAGAAGGAACTCTCTAAGTAAATTAACTAATAGGCAGAATAAGAATAAAATCTCCTACACTGCATTTTTTTTTCAGATAAAACAAAATATTACAGAAATTGCATTTCATCCTGACTTACAGCCCTAATGTTTCAAATAACACTGTATAAAATTCACACTCAGTTACAGAGCAACTAGTTACGATTGCTATGGCAATGGGATCTGTGCCTATGAGCAGAAAAAAAATTCCTTTTGAGCAAGATATTTATGAGTATATCTGGCTACATGACAAGAGCATTTTAACTGTTTTTTTTTTCTTTAGAGTAATTCATGTATATAGGCTGATGATCCTTTGTATATGTAAATTCTTCCTAAAAAAAGAAAATATTAGTCTTAACATTTTTAATATTCTTGTGTTATTACAACTTGGACTTAATTCCACTGATGAAAGGTTTACTTTAAATTATATTTATTATGTGAGATGAGTAGCTTTAGCATATTAAATATATAGCATACCTACACAAACATCTTTGACAAGGTTGCTAATACAATATTTTCAAGGGCCAGAGGAGATTCAAAACAGCAGTTACAAATAAATTCAGACTTCAAGTAGCAACTATTAAGAGAAAGGTCCGCAGATATATTTGAACTGATAGACAACATTCGCTCAATCTGTATATTTTAAAAAGTAAAGTTCAAATCATGAGGAAGGCTGTACCTAAAACATGTTTATAATAAGTATACAGTAAAGTGCAGAGCTGATTTACAGGGCACAAACAAACTTTAAAACAACATTATAATATGCTTACTTGTGCTGAAATGATGGGGTGTAGGTAGAATAAATCGCTTTAGGCATGGATAATGTTATGGGTACTAACTAACAGCATGAGGACCTACGAGGAGGCTTGCAAGTGTTTCAGTTCTGAAATCTGCACTTTTAGTCTGTCTTTAAACAAAGGGCAGAGGATACTTGCAGAAGTTAATTTCAAGCTGCAGCTTCAACCCTTAACAATCCTGTTTCTTTTCCTTTTTAAATAATATGCTACTGGCAAATATGCTCATTGATGATGATGGAAAAATCCACTTCCATTTTCCTTGGAAGCAGCATTTCCAGTAGTGAGCTCGAAATTTTACCGGATGTGGTGATGATAAGTTTCTAAGTTTTTACTGCTGCTTCTAACATATTTCTGCTCACATTATGACATTTAGTTTACAAAGTAAATCCAGGAGGAAGGATTTATTAACTTAATATTACAGATATAAAAACAGAGCTGTAATGCCCACCTTGCTATATGTAACTTAAGGGTTGAGTTTTTTCACTTTAAGTTTATACTATTGTCAAGTTTGTAACCCACTTACAAGATAGATCATATTAGTATTCTACATTGTTAGACAGCAATCAACACGTTAGCATTTAGAGATGATAAAAGGCCATAGATTTCTATATCATGCTCAGATAAAGATTACTAAACCACAAAGTAGCAGATAAATGTGGGATGAGTCAAATGGTATTATGTCACCAAACCATAATCCTAGACACAGAGAACTTATCCCTCTTTTCGTTTTAATGTTTCTAATAGAAAAAATAAATAAATAAACAAAATGTGCTATTTTTCTAAGCGTCTATCCAGTCCCCTTTTGGAGAAACTTGGTTAACTCAAACAATTGCTCTTATATCTCAGGTCTTCCTGTTTTAAGCAATAGGTTACTGTTGGTTGTAATAGAATGGTGGAAACCATTTAAATGCCTCATGGAAAGTTAATTTTCACTTAATAGCACTGAAGTAATTTTTTTTAAGATCCTTTAGACTGTTGTTTATTAAGCTATTAACCCTAGTTGTTAGTGATTTAAAACATTTAAATTTCCAGAATATTGACATTTATTATTTTGAAAGCAAGTAAAAATTTCTAGTAGTCATACCAATAAAAAACAATCTACTAAAACTGTCAAAAGTGTGTGCTTTCAAATATGCCTGTTCAAACTGTCACTCTATGCTATGAGCTGAAAGCCTTTGTCTTTCTTGATTAGGAAAAAATATGACTTCATAATCCATATTCAACTATGAACACCTGGTCATTAATAAAAATCTATTAATGTCCAAGTTTTATCAGTGGGTCTAAAAAACAAAAACAAACAAACAAACAAACAAACAAAACAAACTCTGGCATCCTTTGGTAAAAATCCAGAAATTGTGGTGCAGCAATCTGGAAGTTCAGAACTGTGGACTGCTCCAACCTCTTGATCAGGTCAGGGCACCAGGCTAAGCAACCGCTGGAGAACTTAAAAAATGAAGACTTTCCCAAAGGGAAAATCAAAATCAAAACATTTGCTTTACAATGAGCAAATGTTTAATGCATACAACTAGCACACAAGGTAGAAGAAAAACATGAAAATAATATATATTGTATATGTGTATATATATACATATATGTATATGTGTATATATATATATGTACACATATATGTGTATATAAATAGAAGTGAAACTGTCTAGGAAAACGAAGATTTTGGGAGGTGGGAGGAAGAAAAAAAGGGTGTAGTATAGTGGAGGGGCATGTGTTCAAGGTACAATGTATTAAGTGAAAGCATTTTTATGGAACACAGGAACATGTATAATGAATATGTACAGTAAATAGGAAAATAAAAAGCCCAACCAAACAACAAAAACATCCGATTGCGAGAGAGAACCACAAAAAAAGACAAGAGCTTGGTAAAATGGCTAGCCCCGCAGGCAGGCCAGGATATGAGGGACTTAGAAAGACCCCTCCGTACTTCCACAGCTAAAAACTGAACTAAGATTTAAGCAGAGCAGGCTAAATTCTGGAAGAGACTTGTAAACATCTGAAGTGGGGCAGTAGCCGGGGTCTGTCCTAGTCACATCCTTCTGACACAGAGGGTCTCCTCCAGTGTTTCACAAACCAGGTGCAGCCTCCCCTTGGCCCCATCTGTCAGACAAGCTTAAGGATGGAACAGAAAGAGGCTTGGTCACGGGAGAGACCCTAGTCTACACGGGAGGAAAGGAAGACAACTTGGCGCAGGCCCAACGGCTCCGGGACAAAATCTCAAAGCAACCACCCAGCACCTCAGTCGACAAAAGGCCACGGTGCAAGCTTTCTTTGCACTGTCGCGACCAGCCACGCCCCTCCGCGCTCATTGGCCTGCGGCTTGTACGTCAAAAAACTAGCCTAGTCTCTATTGGGCCGGAAGTACCGGAGGCGGGGTGAGGAAGCGAGGGCCTGGAGAGAGTGTGGCTCGGCCTTAAGGTGGGGCCCGGCGGGTAGGGGGCGGGGCCCAGGCGGAGCTGGGGCGGGGCCCGGGCGGGTTTCAGGGGAAGGGGCGGCCATGGCGGCTGCGCGGCCGCAACGGCGGCTGCGAAGGAGCGCGCGCCCGGCTTTGAATGAGCGGAGCTGGGACTGAGCTGGCCGAGCGAGCGCGAGCTCGAGGCAGACGGCGGCAGCGTGCGCGCGCGCCCCGTGTGCGCGCGTGGCCCCGCGGCAGCTCGGAGCCTCCGCCGGGCGGGCGGGGAGGGGGAGGGGCAGGTGAGTGTGTGCGGCCCGCGCGCGCCCGCCGGCGAGGGGCTTCTCTCTCCACCCACCCGCCTCCCGACCCCGGCCCCGCCGGCGCTTCCCCCGCCACTCTCGGGGCGTCCCTTACTTCCTGCCCTCCCGCCTTCCTCCCCGGCCCTCCACCTCGACCTCCCACACGCCGGGCCAGCACTCGGGGGTACTGTTTCCGGGTCAGGGTGACCTGTGGGGCGAGCCCAGCGGGGCCGGGAGCCGGCGTGGCCGCGTGCCCTCGCCATGCGGCGCTCACGCGAGAGACCGGCCTGTGGAAAAGCCCCACGTCCAGTCTCCCCCGATGGCAGTGTGCCGCCTTCCTGCCCTCCCTCCACGGGCCTCGCCCCTCTCGGGCCCGATCTGCCCCACATCCAAATCCCAGCCCACCCGGCTTCCAGCTCCAGCGAGTGTGGAGCGCCTCACGTGACGCCCGCCACGGGGCGTGGGATTGCGTAACCTGAAGGCTCGCGCGTGTGTGGTTTTGCTCATCTGTGCAGTGGGTATGATTTTTTTTGCGTCAGGACAGTCTAGGTGGGTAATCGGAAAGTGAACATTATTTCACTTGTGAAACTCTCCCGTTGACTCATTCAGAAGACCTTAGCCCGCCTAGGTAACAGTTCCAGCGGTGTCAGATTTGAAGGCCTGATGGCACAGAGGGTTCGATTTTTCTGCCACCAGCTTTTCAGAACTGCACTTCCGTTTCTGCTTACTTGCTTCTGCTGTTGACCCTTTCCTTTTCATATCTGAGTTGGGGCAAATAGGTTTTTATTTGGGAACTTTGTGATTCTTAGCCTAAGCGAGTTACAGACATAATTTGAGTGAATTCTGTGCTGTGTAGGTCGGAGGACTTGAAAGAATTTGTATGGAGAGACATAGAAACACAGATTTAGAAGTACAGCACTAGAGAACTCGCTCAGTGGGTACCAACTGGCTTGGCTTAATGAGCTGTAATATAATGACTGGATCTCCACTTTAGGATGTGAAGAAATTCACTGGGAACAAGGAGGGATTGACTTGATCATTCAGGATTCTTTTTCTTTATGATTTCTGCCCCAGTTATAGGGAAATCTTTATCGGTTAACACAACAGAGCTCTTATTTCTGTTGCTTGATTGGAGATGTCATTTCTTCAAACTTTCCTCTTCTGGCATATATAAACTTTACATTTTGTATTTTAAGGATGTTTTTTTAATTGGAGTATTTTGGTAGAAGATTACTTCAGTATTGCTCAGTTCTAGAAAACACGTGAAAGCACCCAGATTGCAGAGTAGCCCAAAATAAGTATTTTCCTAATTAATGATCTATAGGGTATATTAGAAACCAGACTGAAACGATATATGTAAAATTAAAATAATTTCAAAAGGAATATGTAGAGAAAGCCTGGCCTTGGGGTTTTTCTCTTCCAGTCAATCCTGATTTAACATGTTTAAATTATTCAGGCCAGTTATGGGCCTCATCTGTTACATGGGAATGGTGAAACTATTGAACTGAATGCTGAAGGCCAAAGGAATGTTAATATCTTTTCTTTCAAGAAATATTTGAACACCTAAATGCTGTCATTGGCCAAGATTCAGAGATAAACTGAGCCATGCTGGTGTGGTCCTTCTGTTCTGGGCTCTTTTTCCTTTGAGTAAAAGTAAATGGAGAAAGAAACTCAAGACAGTTGAGAAGCAGAGGGTTTCTCTGTGCAGGGAAGTGTTTTTTCCACTATCAGTGTAGCATATGTTACATAGTAGGTGCCAATATATATTCTTTCCATTGAGTTTCATTCAAGTCCTGAATAAAATTTGTCTACAAATCATTGTAATTGATAAAGTGCTGCTTTAAGTTTGGTTACATTTTCCCCATTTTAGTGAAGCTGGTTAGAAATTTTATCCTGGAACTTATGATATCTTCCTTGATTGCTAAGAGTGTTCCTGACTAGATTTTCCTGGCTTTCAGATTAAATTGATGTAGGTTTGAATGGAAGCAGTTGTAGGAACTTGGGATCATATGTTTACTCTGCTTGTAATCTATGAAACGAGGACAGTAATATCTATTTTATCAGAAATAAGTTCTGTGGGTTCAGTTAGTGTTTAGATAGTGTTTAGTACATAATAGATGGTCAGTGAGTTTTAGGCCTTTTTTATTAATTACACAGCATCTTTATCACATATCGTTAATTGCAATGGGGAAATTCTGTAATCAGTAATAATCCAGCTCCCTGGTTTTCCACTTGAAATTTCATTTCTACTTTTTGTTGGAGCCATTTGAGTTGACAGGTACTTACTGAGTAATGGTACTTAAGGATATTTGAGAAGGTAATGGCTGTAGCTACCAAGGCTCTGAATGGAATTTCTCAGCCTAACACCCTGTGCACAGTCCCAAAATAGTGAACGTGGTTTTTCCCCAAAGAAATCTCTTTGGCTATATTTCCTCTCCCAGTACTGTATGCCACAAGTCTAATAGCTACCTTTGAAATATTTTTTCTGAAAATTTATTATATTCTTAAAATGATCTCTGAATTTTAATTAGTATGTATTAGTGTCTAGTGTACAGTATATTGGGTTTCATTATATTTCATTCCTTTATGTAATTTGCTCACCCTCCAATTAGTATTTCTTCATTTGTTTGTTTATGTTTTTTGAGTTTCTGTGTAGCCTTTGGTATCTTGGACTACCTTTGTAGACCAGGATGGCCTCCAACTTAGAGAGATCTGCCTGGGTCTGGCTCCCTGAGTGCTGAGATTACAGGCGTGCACCACTGTGCCCGGCTCCATTACTATTTGTTGTTCTTCTGGTTCCCTTTTTCTTGTCAAACAGTCCGCCATCTATTTTCATGTGTTCTTGTATTGGAAATCTAGCTTGTGCACATGAGGGGGAAGTGCTATCTTTGTCTTTCTGGCTCAAGCTTATTTTGCCCAACAGGATGGTCTGAAGTTTCATCCATTTTCCTGTGGAGGGTATGAATGCTGTACTCAGACCTCTCTTTGGGAAGTTTGCTTTTCATTTTGTTGACAGTTACGTTAAATCAACTTTAAGTGAAACCTTGCTTCGCCATTTTATTTGTTCAGTTCATTCTACTTTTAGTGAGGAATCAAATATTTTTTTCAAGTTTTACTTTGTAAATCGTAATTGAATGTACCAGGTAAAAAAATCCTCTAGAAAAGTATTGTGCAGGTCAGGTATAGTATGAAGATATTACTGTAGTATAAAATAGAAAATATCAACTTTCACAGTAGAAAAACCCTGGAATTAAGACGAATTTATTCCACCAAGAAGTAATAAAAACTTAGCCAACATCATTGGATATAGGAAACAATATGGCAATATTGGGAAATTAAATAAGACTTATAAGTCATCTGGCGTCTCTAAATACTTTGAGTCAGCGTTGTTGCATTTTTGAAGTAAGTAACCCACATTGGCACTGTATTTGTCAGAAATATATACATTACTTGAAAAAGGAAGTTGTTAATGTGCCCTTGATTTCTTTTCTTCTAGAATCACTGTTCTTTGCACCCTCTCAGTATTCAGCCTTAGACATTGAGTAAATCATTTAGTTAAGATAGTCAGTTTTCATATGCCCAACAATATACGAGCACTGCTAAGGGAATCCTGTGGAACCTGCCATTGTACGTTTAGTAGTGTGCATTGCACTTTTAACTCTAAAAACAGAAAGCACTAGCTATTTTTCTCAGAAGAAACTGCCAGTTAGTAACTACAGAGCATTCAAGGTCAGGGACCATGACAGGTAGTGTGTTTTCATTGCTTTCTTGTTTCCTTTTTTATCTTTACTGCTTGGTTGTGTGTTGAACTTTTATGTTGAGGTATATGTAAATAAGTAATATATTCAACAAAGCAAACAGTATTGCTACCACTCAGGTTAAGGTCCAGATCTGTTTCCTAATGGGTCTATATCCCCTTATATCATTAGAGGAGAATACTCTTCTTACTATTTCATTTTTAACCTGCTTTGTGTAATACTTCATTTAATTGAGGAAACTGTATTATGAATTATTTTTAAAAACTGGGAGGTTATTGTTGGCTGTGATTTGTTTTTAATCCTCAGAGACTGTGGGCTAGTGGACTTACTAATATGGGCCCAAGTGTAAGTGTTTCTTCAAACAGATGGCTCGATTTGCAAACCTGACTAGACAGGCTTTATCATTTCATTGAACTTACTAGCTATGCCTTGAACATGTTGACCTTTCTTAATTCAGTTTCTCCACCTGTGAGATACCATAATGAAAATATATAAACAGTAAAATGTTGAAAATATTTTCAGTTGTGTTGTTGAAGTGAAAGAAATTGCAAAAGGTGTACAGAAGACTAATACATACAGTTTTATACATTTTGAGTTTTTCATAAGTAGCTTTGTACTAATTTAGGCAAAACATTTTTCAGAGACTCAGAATGAAGAGAATTCTTTCTACTGATTAAAAACTTTAAAAACTTACTTTCTTAAATAGTTTATGTGTCTTACATAGTATTAGAATTTACTGTTATAGTTGTAGTTTTAGAGACAGTAAAAATGTCAGGTTTCTCTTAGTACATAAGGACTTTTCAGTTTGAACTCAAAAGAAGAACATGTTTCAGAAATTTGTCTAATACATCGTTTTTGTGTGTGTGCCTTTCCCACAGGTTTTGGTTTTCACCATGGCCATCACTCAGTTTCGGTTATTTAAAGTTTGTACCTGCCTAGCAACAGTATTCTCATTCCTAAAGAGATTAATATGCAGGTAAATTATTTCTGTGTTCAAACTGACCTTTTTGTCTCCTCACTAACTCTGAAAAGATATGAAACATTTTATTGAAGCTTGTCCTGTTTATGATATTTGTTAATCTATATTTTTTAAAATACTTTTGCAGATCTAAAAAAGAACTCTGTAGTTTTGTTTTTTCAGATTTTTTACATCTTCCATTTAAATATATTAAATAATTAGTCCTGTAAAATTTCAGAAAGAAGCAGACCAATGTTAAATATTACCACCATAATGTTTCGTATTCTTTCATTATTGTCATGCTTAAAAGTGGTTAGGCAAAACATAGGTGTTTATATGTATATTTTCATATGGATGCAGTTTTTATATTTTTAAAACTTTCAACAGAGAGGGGCTGGGGAGATTGCTGTGCTTAAAAGCACTTGCTGCTGTTGCAGAGAACCTGGGTTCATACTTTTGCATCTTCTTGGTGGCTCAAAACTCTAAACTCCTATTCTAGGAGATCCAGTGCCCTCTTCTGGCTTCTGCAGATACTAGCTGTGTACATGGTGCACAGCATACATGCAAAATACACAGACACATAAAATAAAAATGTCTTTTAAAAACTTAAAACAGAGAAATTATAAGTTGACGTGTCTGTGTGTGTGTATGTGCATGTGTGCGCGCGTGCACACGTGCACGTGCAGATTGGCCAGAATAAATTATTTGTCTTCATTTGGTTATACTTAGATTCCAAATCCTTCTGTCTTACCACATGGCCGCACCCTAGCTACTCAACTGCTGAGGCGCCTCAAGATTGATCACAAAATTCAGAAGTGTGTTCTAAGCTTTAACAATTTCTAGCAGAACTACCGTGGTCAGTAGCTGTTGAAAACTTTTGAAAACTCCTAGTTCAGAGAGCTTGTATTTGCAGCACTAGGGCCTACAGCTTTTTGGTAACATATATTTGCAAAGCTAGGTTCTTAGGTTATGATTGGAAGTACTTATGCCACTAAATTAATGCAAAACAGAAAATGAGGGTGGCAGTATTCAATCTGATGCCAAGGGTTGAGAAGCTATGCAGTGTTCAAAAGGCACACATATTTCAATAGTAAAAAGTTGTATTTTATTCCAAATAAAAATAATAAATTTTATTTTCTGCCTTCTGTTTTGTTTTGTTTGTTGAAACAGGATGTTGCTATGTTTCCCAGGCTGGCCTCTGTATTGCTATGTGGCTTAGGCTGCCCTCAAAGCTGCATTCCTCTTTTCTCAGCTTTCGGAAAGAAATTACAGGGAAAAAAAAAAAAAAAGACATGTGTATTCAGCTTTTCAGTTGGCTACTAAGAACCCAGGACATGTATAAGTACTAAGTTGCTTGGGCCTACCTGCTTAATCATTGGAACTGAAGCCAGGCATAACGGTGAATGCCTTTAATCTGAGTGTTTGGAAGGCAGAGACAGTTGAATTTCTGGGAGATAGCCAGAGTAACATAAAGAGACCTTACCTCAAAAAAAAAAAAAAAAAAAAAAAGCTTTTATTAGTGGAACTCTGTTAAGTATTTTTTTTTGACCTGAATATTCCCAGAAAAACTTAGTGATATATTTAACATAATCTAGTATAAAAGAGGATGTAAATGATAATCAGCTGTTTTTTCAGTGGGTAGTTTTAGGACTTACACATAGTGCTAGGCTGATCCTATTCAGAGTTTAGCATGTTGATGAAATGATGTCCAGTAGAAATGATCCCTGGTAGATGAGAAGTCAAGAACCATGAAAAAATTGGGGTAATTGACTATTGAAATCACTCTTGCTGGTAGGATCTGTGAAGTACAAAAAACTGATGAAAAAATGTTCAAGTCAGAGAAGAGTGATGAGACATTTACTAGGAAAAGCAGGATGGGAGTGTGTGTTAATACCGGAAAGAGGTAAAAGAGGCATTATTAACAGTGCCATGATGCATAGTGTCTTTATGCATCTGTAGTTCCTAATGTTCTGCTCAATGTAGGTCAGTTTTGTTTTTTTTTTAACTTTTATTAATTACACTTTATTCACTTTGTATCCCCCCATAAACCCCTCCCTCCTCTTCTCCTAATCCCACCTTCCCTCCCCATTCTTCACACATGCCCCTCCCCAAGTCCACTGATAGGGGAGGTCCTCCTTCCTTCTGATCCTAGTCTATCAGATCTCATCAGGAGTGGCTGCATTGTCTTCCTCTGTGGCCTGATAAAGCTGCTCCCCCCTCAGAGGGAGGTGATCAAAGAGCAGGCCAATCAGTTCATGTCAGAGACAGTCCCTATTCCCATTACTATGGAACCCACTTGGACACTGAACTTCCGTGGGTTCTAGGTTATCTCCATGCATGGTACTTTGTTGGAGTATGAGTCTCTGGAAAGACCCCTGTGTTCAAATTTTCTGGTTCTGTTGCTCTCCTTGTGGGGTTCCCGTCCTCTCCAGCTCTTACTGTTTCCCACTTTTTTCATAAGATTCCATGCACTTTGCCCAACAGTTGGCCATAAGTCTCAGCATCTGCTTTGATAGTCTGCAGGGCAGAGCCTTTCAGAGGCCCCCTGTGGCAGGTTCCTAACTTGTTTCCTGTTTTCTTCTTCTGATGTCCATCCTCTTTGCCTTTCGGGATGGGGATTGAGCGTTTTAGTCAGAGTCCTCCCTCTTGATTAGTTTCTAACTAAAATCTGTAGTAGGTTTTAGTAGGTTTATCCTATATTATATGTCTATATGAGTGAGTATATACCATGTGTGTCTTTCTGCTTCAGAGATAGCTCACTCAGGATGATCCTTTCCAGTTCCCACCATTTACCTGCAAATTTTATGATTTCTTTTTTTTTTTTTTTTTCATTGCTGAGTAATACTCCATTGTGTAGAGGGCTAATAACCAGTATATATAAAGAACTAAAGAAGTGGAAAAGCAACAAACCAAGTAATCCAATTAAAAAACGGGGAACAGAGCTAAACAGAGAATTCTCAATAGAGGAATATCGAATGGCAGAGAAACACTTACAGAAATGCTCAATGTCATTAGCCATCAGGGAAATGCAAATCAAAACGACCCTGAGATTTCACCTTACACCCATCAGAATGGCCAAGATCAAAAACTCGAGGGACAACACATGCTGGAGAGATTGTGGAGAAAGGGGAACCTTCCTTCATTGCTGGTGGGAATGTAAATTTGTAAAACCACTCTGGAAATCAATCTGGCGCTTTCTCAGACAACTAGGAATAGCTCTTCCCAAAGATCATACCATACTACTCCTAGGCATATATCCAAAAGGGGCTCAAGTACACAATAAGGGCATTTGCTCAACCATGTTTGTAGCAGCTTTATTTATAATAGCCAGAAGCTGGAAAACCACCCCTCAACTGAAGAATAGATACAGAAATTATGGTACATCTACACAATGGAATATTACTCAGCAATGAAAAACAAGGAAATCATGAGATTTGCAGGGAGGTCAGTTTTAGAATAGGAAATCTGATTTCATATTAAGGATTTTGTTGTCACTGTGAGTTTCTGTTGACAGTGTTGATATGTTTAGGACGGACTGTACATTCAGCTGTAAAGAAAACCAGCCCTTTATTAGGATATAGGATAAACCTGTCAAAACTAATTATGTGTTGTAAAATTCTATATTTTCCTTCATTCCTTCCCAATCCCACCTTCCCTCCCTCATCTCCTCCCATGTCCCTCTCCAAGTCCACTAAGAAGGGAGGTCCTCTTCCCTTCCATCTGACCCAAGCTTATCAGGTCTCATCAGGACTGTGTACCATAAATTTTATAATAGGTTGTAATGCTTCTCTCTTTATCATTTAAGTGAATAAAATGCTGCTCATGAATTTTTCATAAAACAGATACTTTAGCAAGTAGCTCTAAAGTAATGAGTTTCAGATTACAGGTTTATAATACCTACTGTGTTTTAATGTCTTGCTCTGTAGCCAGTGCAGTTATTTGCTTTAAATATGTGTCTTAGTTAAATCCTTAAAAAAAGAAACCTTAGAAATGTAGGTGTGAGTGTTCATTTTGCAGATGAGGATATGGTAGACTCAGTAAAGTAACTTTGAAAATCATGGTCAGCATAGACTGCATAGTTGAGCTATATTATAAGTTGATTAGTATTTTCCTACGAATCCTTAGAAACCAATTAATTTAGTTTGATTAGTTTGATTTTCAAACTTTTAACTAGTTAAATAGTTAATTTTTACCAAGAAACCTATAAAACATAAACCAACCCTCCCTGGTTAAAGAAGTTTTGACCTTTATCTACAGAACCCTAAGCACTCGATGTGCACAGGGCTTCAAACTGGCTTGTATCTGTTTGCCTTTTGATTTATCTTAAGTCCTCTAATTTTGTGTATAATTCAGAATCCTAACTCAAAAAGCAGCTACATTACTTAAGATTTTTGGAAACCTTGACAAGATTGCTGGGTCATGCTTTTTCATCATCACTTTATGAGCAGTTGTTATTTAAAACAATAATTACAAAATTGAAAAGTCCCATCTTCTGAGTAAGGCTTTCTAAAATGCTTTCTACTCTTTGCTTGTTTTGCTGGTTCTTGAAATTTATCCTGTTTCTTTCAGATCTGGCAGAGGAAGGAAATTAAGTGGAGACCAAATAACTTTGCCCACCACAGTCGATTATTCGTCTGTCCCTAAGCAGGTAGTTTGTAATGGAGCATGTGCTCCAGAACACTGCTTTTCAGACCTGACTGCAGCAAAACAATTTAGTGCTCAGTATCCTTGTTGATTTACTTACTGTTTGTTAATTCTATACCTTTTACTTGATCGTTCATTATGTATCTATTTCTTTGTCAACATGTAACGTTTTCTCTACTGGTTTCAAGTGTATGCTATTTCTTTTATGGAACATTTAATATTTTAAAATCTTAGATATGTCCTATATTTATATCATATTGGGGTTGGCAATTTGGAATTAGCTTTCCATGTGAATTGACATTCATGGATTCCTTATATGTTGAAAATTCTGGTTTGTTTCTTTGGCATTTAGATACTATGTTTTGAGACTTTTACTTAAGTGTTATAGCGAATGTTGATAGTCCTTCCTTCCTTCCTTCCTTCCTTCCTTCCTTCCTTCCTTCCTTCCTTCCTTCCTTCCTTCCTTCCTTCCTTCCTTCCTTCCTTCCCTCCTTCCTTCCTTCCTTCCTTCCTTCCTTCCTTCCTTCCTTCCTTCCTTTTGTCAGCTAATCAGTTTGGTTGGGCTTGAGTTCCAGTATACCCTCTCTGGGCTGTACATACAGTGCTAGTTCAGTTTTCAAAAGCATTTGTTTGACAATTTTGATAGATGATTTGAATTGCATTTTTGCCTATAGCTCAAAAGTTTGAAAGCCAGTGTGTTAGAAAGCCTGATTTTCTAATTAAGCCTGAGATGAGCATTAAGTTGCCTCTTCCCTTTGTGGCTGACAATTCAATCAATTAAATTTAGACAGATGTGGAGGAGTGGACTTCCTGGGATGAAGATGCACCCACAAGTGTAAAGATCGAAGGAGGGAATGGGAGTGTGGCAGCACAACAGAATTCTTTGGAACAACTGGAACCTGACTATTTCAAGGACATGACACCAACTATACGGAAAACTCAGAAAGTATGTTGAAGATTTGTGCTTTTGGAGATTAAATACTTTTTAGATTTTAGACGTTTAGACAGTATAATTTGTATTTGTTAGAAAGCCTGTTTATGATTAACATTTTGCTTTCTGACATTAAACAAGAATTTTATGTGTTCACACGACCATAACATAGATCTAATAATGTGTATTCCCAAGTTTTCTACCATAACTCAGCATTTACAAAAATGCTACGGGAAACTTAAGCCAATAAATTAACAGTTTTAACAAGTTCCAAGTTTGATGATATCTAAAAATGGGTAATCTCCCATTATATTACCATGTACAACTAGTACAACCAGTCCATGGTAAAATACTGTAAAGTTGTTCTGAGTCTATGTATTGTTGTAAATTTGTTAGCCATTTATATTTCACTCCCTTTTGAATTGACCATGAGATCACTTAGAGATGCAGAGATACCAGCAAGAGCACAATGGCTGCTTTTCTGTATTTTTTTTATCAAGATAATATATGTTATTTAAGATAGAAGAATATTAAAGGTCTTACAATGAAACATAATTGACCTTGTCTCCTCACTCTGCCAATTCTATGTCCCAGAAGTAGCCACTCAGTAACTTTTTCTGCTTGGTTTATTTTTTCTTTTCTTTTCTTTTTTTTTTTTTTTTTTTTCCTTGTTTATATATCAAATACTGCTGTTTCTTGATACTGGTCATATATACTGTTCATTCACATTATAATATGATAAATGAAGACTGAGTTCTGCTTCATCTCCTTCTAATACTGTAATGTTATTACATTCTACTCTCCTATTTCAGAAAATTATATTGGACATTCCATTAGTTATTCAAACACAAAAACATTATGTGTATTTTTATATAGATGTGTGTGTGTGTGTGTGTGTGTGTGTGTGTGTGTGTGTGTGTGTGTATAGTATTGTCACCTTACCTTTTTCTTTATTTCAGCCACATATATACTTTCTTTTGTTTTGTTTTGTTTTGTTTTGTTTTTTGGTGTTTTGAGACAGTGTTTCTCTGTGTAATATCTCTGGTTGTCCTGGCCTCAGTTTATTGACCAAGTTGGCTTAGAACTCACAGACATCCACCTGCCTCTGCCTCCCAAGGGCTGGAATTAAAGGTGTGTTCCACTATACCCCGCTGTTTTCTTTCTTTTTAAAACTGTCTTATTCAAATATTTAGTTCTGAAAAGGAGGGCACTTATAAGTTTCTCAGTTGATATGTATCTTGTATAATGGAAATATATTGGTAGAATTTAGTATATTACATGGTACCTTATTACATTGATTTAGATTGATGGTGCTTTTTTGTGAAATTTACATTATATCAAATAAATATATTTTAATACCTTTAGCCAAAAAGAGTTGATGCATTTATAGATATCCCACATGTTAAAGAAGCTACGTATACTTTTGGTAGGACATAGACATGCTATTTTTTGATTTAGTAACAAAAAGTACCTAATTATATTTTAAGGACCGTTGAAAAATAGGGAGAAGAAAAAGATAAGAATTTTTTTAAAGTGAGATACAATTTTTCTTAGAATGAAACTGATCTATGTTATAGTTGCATGGGAATTTTGGTACTAATTTTTACCACATTGTACATTTTAAAGAAGACGACAATTTAAGCCATTGTCAAATATATCAATCAGTTATTTTCTTATGGTTTCATATTCTTGTAATCCTGTTGTAATTTGTATTCCAGATTGTCATTAAGAAGAGAGAACCATTGAATTTTGGTATCCCAGATAGTAGTACAGGTTTTTCCAGTAGATTGGCGGCTACACAAGATATGCCTTTTATTCATCAATCTGTAAGTATGTTAATGAGATCTAGGAGAAGTCTTAATTTTTTTTTTTTTTAAGAAGAGAAAAATACTCCAAAGGAATTGAACAGATTTAAAAGTTCAAGAGAAGTTGATCTATAGTTTTACCAACCTAACATCTTAAAAGATTACAAATTATATTATTATATTGTACACTTACTGTCAGGGTACCATTACACACAGAAAAGCTAGAGACAAAAATGTGATGATATTTAGAGGAATTACCCCTAAAATAATTAAGGTAAGTTTTGACTTAATGAAATTTTTTCATCATAGAATGATATAATTTAAGATGAATTTGACTTATAAAACTTTATAAAGGAAAAAAGTGATGAACAAAATAGAAAAGCTAGGGTTCTCAACACTGAGAGAGTATATCAGAATCAGCTGGGAAGCTTTTAAACCAAAATGACATCAAAACCCCACAAATACCTAGGTGCCTCTGCAGGTCTAAGCATGCTTTTAGTAGTATATTACACTAGCTAACAGTTATAAACCCCAAATACAGTGCCTTGATAACATGATGATCATTCATTGGCTCATAAAGGTCTAACAATGTGGTCTAACAATCCAGGGTTGATTAAACTAGGCCATGAGTTTATAAGCAGTCACTGCATTGAGTCTGTAGTCAGCTGCAGACGTGACTGGGTTGGTAGGACTAGGGTGCTCACCTTGAAAGGTTTGCATGAAATCTTTTGTTTCTTACAGTGTACTCTTCTGGAGAACAGTTTGGATCTCCTTGTGGTATAAGTACTAATTGTCCAGGGTGTGGGAAGAGGAGGGCATTGAATATATTAAGGAGACAGTGTTAAACGATTATATACACAATTACAAACATTAATAACATGATATTATGAAAGAACACTATTATTGATATTCTACTTTCATGTATTTTTTTAAAAAATGACACAGTAAGATTTGTGAGGGTTTCTTATGGAGACCTTGGCTGAGGGATTATTTACAGTGGCAACTTATGAGAGCATGAACACCTTACCAGTGGCTGCACTGCTAAGGAAAATGCCTCTCCTGTAGTAACCATTAACTGTTGCTTATAGGTGTTAGTGTAGAGTATTTTTTACATCGAATATTCTATTTTTGTCCTGAAGTGTTTATGCTAAGGATAACAACTTTTTTCTGTCATTTTTTTATGCTTTTTTACTTTGTTGCTGTCTTGGTTTGGATGTTTTTGATGTGTTTAGGAGGCATGCATGTGTGCATGTGTGTGCGTGACCTCACCAGCTGGTGAGGCTGGCTGGCCAGTTGGCCCTCTGAAGTTTTCCTATCTCACTTGCTAGCCACGGGATTACAGGCGCACACCACCATGCCTAGATTTTTACGTGGATGTTGAGGGTCCAAACTCATGTCCTCATGCCTGCTGCCGCACTTTACCTTCTGAGCTGCCAACCCAGCCACAGATAGAGTTGATTTTTATGTATGCTTACCAACCTATCTATCTTCCTTTAATTTTTTTTCTTTTAGCCTTAGAAAGCCATTTTTTACTAAAGAAATTACTATATTTGGTGGTACATATAAACTTTAATATATATACATATATATTATAAAATGTTTATATATACTGTAAAATTTTATGTTAAAAATCTTTAATATATAATATTAAATCTCTAAATGTCTTATGGCAATTATTTCAATGGGAAAATGGGCAAATATTATAAATGAAAATGTTGTTACCAACAAGAAACATATAGCCTGGTAAGTTCCTCTTTTTTCAGAAATTCAGTAAAAAATAAGGTATCACTTTTTATGATTTTTTTTTAAGCCTGGTTTATTACATCTCCATAGGATGAAAATAGAAAGTGCCACTGAACTATGCTTATATTAGTGTCTATGACCTCCACAGATACAGAAGTTTGACCAGGTTTGTTGTACCAGCTGTGAATTCTCTGTTGTGAAGCCAAACTCCAATCTTGTCAGCAGTTGGTCGGCCCCATAAGGAGTGAGTGCACTGTTGCACCAGATGCCCAGAACCATTCTAGCACTTTGGGAAGCCATAACTCCTAGTGTGTTTGTGAAAGTCATAGTATATTATGAAATCTTCAGTTCTAACCAAATTAAAAGCTAGATCATTTATGCCCTATGTAGGAATTTTTATGAAAATTAGGGAACCATACAAAAGTAACAAGTGTTTCTGAGATGGATTTTTAACACCCCCCCCCACCCCTTTTTTGGTTGCTTTGGTTTTGAACTGCTGTCTAGAGAAAGGATGCCTCTTTACTGTCTTAGTTTTTCTTTATTTTTCAATATAGTCAGAATTAGGTGACTTAGATACCTGGCAAGAAAATACCAATGCATGGGAAGAAGAAGAAGATGCAGCCTGGCAAGCAGAAGAAGTTCTGAGGTATTTGGATGATGTTTATCTTACACCTTGAGTAGAAAATGTAGCTTTGTTTCTTGAAGCTTTGTTGTATTTAAGGTCAAGAAAGCCTACTCTGCTAAATGTCTCCATTTTTCCACACTGAACTTTATTGAACTTGTTTCTCATTAAACATGCTCTGAATTTCAGATCTTATGTCATGTTTTATGATAACTATGATTATAAAATACTGTCTGAATCAAAGGATTATAATCTTAATGGCAGAATTGTTGCATCCAGGTAGTGGTGGCACATGCCTTTAATCTTGGCACTTAGGAAGCAGAGGCAGGCGAATCTCTGTGACTTTGAGGCCACCCTGGGCTACACGGAGAAACCCTGACTTGAAAAACCAAAAGAAGAAAAAAAGTTGTTTACATATACATACCACATGCTTTTCATAATACCCTACTGTGAAATGTGAGTTCTAGATTAGAAGTTCTTTTGTTTTAATGTTTCATAGCTTATAGTGTCAGAACTTCACATCTGAATGAAAATAGCTACTAAAGCATTTGTAGTCTCCACATGTATCTTTATTTTTAGTGTCCATGAAAGTCCCATAAAACAGGTAGGTCAATTAACCCATTTTACAGAAAAGTAAATATTATTCTATAGTTTTAAAGTTAATTTTAGTTGGCTGTTCATTCTATGTTTCTGTGAAGTAGTAAACTTAATTCTTGTATTTCTCTGTTGGGTCAAAAAGTAAAGGAGTAATAGTGAAAAGCAGAACTGTGACTTAATCTCTGATGCAAACTCAGATGCAAATCTGACTAGCCTCTTTAAACATTTAGGATCAAATGCAAGGGGCTGGGAGATGGCTTGGTTGCTAAGAGTGCTTTTCCTTTACAAGGTCCAGGTTCTATTCCCAGTACTTATCGGCTTCAGAGGATCTGATGTCCCCTTCTGGCTTCTGCACACTTGTGAACACATGATCCATACATGTAGGCCCACATATATACACATAAAATAAAATGTAAAAAAAAAAATGCAAAAATACAGTGATAGAATTTTTATTTTAGAATTATTATTGTTTTTACCTGATGGATAGAAAATGAATTACCACCTTCTTGGCTATATTAACAATTGAACTTTTATTTATTTTTCTTTTCTTGTGTTGCCTTTGATGGTAAATTTATAGTAACCTTGAATAACCAGCAGAGGGTGCAGTTAAATAGCTAGAACTTTTGTTTACTTTTCTCTAAAATCTTGTTTTCAGCATGTCTTTTTCTAAATGGAGGGGGCATCATGTTTTTAAAGTAAAGTTAAAAGTTTTTCATATTTAGCTTCCCTTTGGTCAGTGTAATTGAGTCTTTAATAAATAATATTTTTTATTTTTTTAATAAAGGATATTTTTTAAAGTATGAAATAATGTTGCAAAGATCATCAAGATACATTTTTATTCTGAATTTTAAAAATAAATAGGTACAAAAAGCAGAATGCTTTAGAAAATTTGGAGGACTAATTATTAGTTTTAGGAAACACAAAATAAAGGAAAGAGCTATTCATTTGAAACTAATAATCTTAATGACTTTTTCATTTCAGGTAGGAACCAGATCAAAGTTTATCAGTACTTTCTAATTTTCTTTCTACTTCTTAATGCTAATGTTTTGGGCTTCGTTTTTAGTACAGATTTTCAGATTTTCTTTTTTTTTTAATTTTTTATTAATTGCACTTTATTCAATTTGTATCCCCCCCTGTGGTTCCCTTCCTCCTCCCGTCCCAATCCCTCCCTTCCTCCACCCTCTGCGTGCATGCCCCTCCCCAAGTCCACTGATAGGTGAGATCTTCTATTCCTTCCTTCTGATCCTAGTCAATTAGGTCTCATCAGGAGTGGCTGCCTTGTCTTCTTCTGTGGCCTGGTAATGCTGCTTCCCCCTCAGGGGGAGGTAATTAAAGAGCAGGCCAAATCAGTTCATGTCAGAGACAGTCCCTGTTCCAATTACAATGGAACCCACTTGGATACTGAACTGCCATGGGCCTATATCTGACAGAGGACTAATATCTAGTATATATAAAGAACTAAAGAAGTTAAACAGCAAAATATCAAGTAATCCAATTAAAAAATGGAATACAGAGCTAAACAGAGAATTCTCAATAGAGGAATATCGAATAGCAAAGAAACACTTAAAGAAATACTCAACCTCATTAGCCATCAGGGAAATGCAAATCAAAATGACCCTAAGATTTCACCTTACACCCATCAAAATGGCTAAGATCAAAATTCAGATTTTCTTATACTTGAGTAGAGCTAGTACAAAGTAGCTTATCGTTCATTCTTTAAACTTGTCTAATTGGTAGTAAAAATTGGTTTGCCACAAAGTAATTTTTTCTCTTTTGTAGAATTTTAGTCATCTGTTAACTTGCATTTGTAATTGTTATTGAAAATCAGATGTATATGCATAATTGTGCATATATTTATGCATTAGCATATTACTTTCATAAACATTTGCTAATTTAGCTGCCAAGCCTGGATCGTTCTGCATAGATCTAGGTATTGCCTCTTCCTTGCTCAGTGCTTACCTATGCTTCCTTGACGTATGTAAGGCTGAAGGAAGGCATAAGTTAGCAAGCAATGAAGGTGCCAGGAGGAGAGTTACCTTTTCACATCCAACTTGGTTCTCTCCCCTCTCTCATATCATCATTCCAGGACCAGTCTACCTTGTTATATAAGGTAAAGATAGTGTTTTTGCTATTTCTAGTTGTTGGAGGTATGTTGTAAGAACCAGACAGGGAGTTGTAGTGTGAAATTGATAAATACCTACTTGTATGCCTTATGCAGCTGCTCAAATGTTAAATTTCTTGGTTCTGAGTAGAAGGTCTGGGTGAAATTCCATTTCCTTTTTGCAATGTGTTCTTCACATCCTTTAGCTAATTAAAAGAATCTATTATAATAACAAGAGAGTTAATTCTAATATCAAACTTTTTTGGATAGTTTTCCCCGATACACACAAGAGCTGTGGTTAAATAAAAATAGAGAGTTTTTGTGGAACTAATGTGAAGGAAAGATATGATTCCTACTCTCTGTATATAAATCCTGTGGCTGGGCAAATCTCGTAGCTTTGTACCTCACTTTTCTCATTTGAACAATAAAGATAATGTTTCTGCTTCATAATGTTACCTTCTAAGTATAAGAAATACTCCTTTTGAGAAATCCTTGAAATTTTCAGAGAAATGAGAAAATTAAGACATTAAATATTTATTCTTTGATTGTAGAAAGGTATCCTTCCTATGATTTATTTGCTTTTTTTTTTTAATATGTGTAGTATTTTTATGAAATAAAGATATGGTTGTGTTTTCAGGCAGCAGAAAATTGCAGACAGAGAGAAGAGAGCAGCAGAACAACAAAGGAAGAAAATGGAGAAGGAAGCTCAGCGTCTAATGAAGAAGGAGCAAAACAAAATCGGTGTGAAGCTTTCCTAACACACGCTAGCTCATGCTGTCCCAGTGCCAGTAGGAGAAGTCTGGGCCCACAGCCTACACAACAAGCCTTTGTATGGACTGGAGAGTACTTTCAGAATACAGACACACTGCTTGATCCTAATGTGTTTATTGAGCCATCCAGGACACCAGGACTCTCCCACTGAACTACTAGTAATCAAGACTCAAAACACAAAAATTATGAGACAATTATTTTCTTCAACATGTTCCAAATATAAGACAATTGTTTGCTGTAGAGAAGTTATTTCAAATGGAATATACCAGACCAGTACCTCTCAAGCTAGTGTTTCTAGCTGAATAAATGGGTGTAAATAATTTTATGGTGGAAGAGTACTCTGCTATCTATTATGCTTTCATTCATTGTGCATAATTTTAAAATAATTTTAATAGTCTTTTATTTACATGATCACTTGACATAAATTAAACTGTAGATAGGGCTTCATACCCTTCTTAATTTTGTTTTCAGGTAGTGTTGATATATTTTCTGTAATTTGAACTGCCACTGTTTGGTACAACATTAAGGAATATGATTTGGGTTTTCAAAAAAATAACATTAAATGCAATAATTTATTTATCAAATAATTTGTATATTCTTACTTTCTTTTGGCCAGTATTATAATGTTATACAGAGCTGTAATTTATATTGCATGTAAATGTTGAAAATCAGCTGCAATGATAAGTTTGTGTGACTTAAGAACTAGGATTAGTAGATTTTCCCTTTCATTACAGATGTCAAGATGTTAACAGTTTTCATCCTTCTTAAAAGCCATTCATTTTCAAATGCAGAAAGCCTTCAGTTTTAATTGATTTTTGAATGTCTCTTTTTTGATATATATATATCTTACATAATATAATGCAGGGTACCTATTCTTTTGGCTAGATAACATTACTGATTCATTACAAACCAAATTTTTTTTTTGTTTGTTTGTGATATTGGTTGACTTGTTTAAAGAGATATTTGCCTATTGTATTTTATGGGGAAAACACATCTCACAGTTTAAAATTCCATTAAATTTTTTTCACCATTAAAATATAACTGGCCTAATTTTTTTGTGGCTTTGGAATTTTTAAAGATGTTTTACTTTTTTCAGAGTTATTGCCCAGGATTAGCATTTTGTGGGGCTTTAAAATGTCATAGACAGTGTACAATCCAAACATTATCAGTATATTTGAATTAAGGTAATAACTTCATAGTAAAACCAATAACTTTGCATTCAGGATTTTAAGAATTTCTTAGCCTGTGCCTTCAGACTAAGTATAATCAGTTGAATTTAACTTCTGTCAAAGGAGTGTTTGAGCACCAGACCACATTGTCAGTTACCATGTTTATTATTTCTTCAGTACTCACAATTGGGCAGAATTATTTAGAATTTTAGTAATTATTCTCTTCCAATTATTTATTTTACTCATTATGAGGATACAATATGTCTATAAATGTAGGATTCATAAAGGATGAGGTTAATTTTACTGCTTTCCTCCAATAGTTGTAAAGTACTGAAGTCTGCTTTAGTCATGCTTTTTGAGGATGAGAAGTATTTTTTTTTTTTTAATTTGGCTCTTTAGTTTTTGAGGAACAAAAATCATTTAGAAATTAAAGCTTATATGATTAGGAAGAAATAGATTTTTTTTTTTAACAATTCTGAACTATTTTTAATCTTACTTTCTATCTTAAATTTGGTTTTGTGATCCCCACAAAATTCGTGGAGTCAAATACATATGATACTTCATGATAGCAAACTGCTTTCTTGAGCTCCTAAATTTATGGAGTTTACTTTTAATTTTGATAAGGCTTTTTTTTTTTTTTTTTTTTTTTTAAGGTTTTTGGTTTTGTTTTTTCAAGATAGGTCTGGCTATTCTGAAACACACTTTGTAGACCAGGCTGGCCTCAAACTTAGAGATCAGCCTTCCTTTGCCTCATAAATGCTGGGATTTAAGGCACATGCTACCACTGCCCAGCATGGCATAATGGGTTTTTGATGCTTACTGAACAGGAGAATTATGGCAGATCCAAATAGGCTGTGAAGTTCTACTCATTCTGAATTCTGTGTTTGAGGTAAATAATCAAAGACAACATAAATCTCATTCTATGTGCTTAATATAAGTGTTTAATTTCCAACGATTTTTTAATAAGTTTTAGCTGAACTACCCTTTCTTGACTCTTTATGATATTTGACTATGTATTTTGAATTGATTTGAGAACATATTCATGAGGATTTCTCAATTTTCGTATGTACTCACTTTGTCCACAACAGTTGACTATTTCTGGATGAAGATTGGTAGTAGATGAGAAGATGACAGTGATAGGACCTCTATCTGGCCCAGGCTATCACTGAGTATAAACCTATCCATAACCAATATTCAAAAACCCTAAGACGATGATGATGGTCTGTGTACTAAAAGGACGGGCTGAGCCAGATATCACTGATTTACCTTAAGCCTATCTAGTTCACATTGGCTATAATCTACCAGTTGCTGTCACTTTCACACTCTGTTCCTTTATTCAAAGGAAATCTTGTCTTTGGTGTAGAAGGACAGTGTAATCATTATGAGGTGAATGATTCTAGTGGAAGCCAAGTGGGGAGGGAGGCATAGGCTTTGTTCTACAGGTTGGTTATCTTACAGAAGGAAGAAATTAAAAGGCTGGAAAAGATGGCAGATCCATGAAGAGTATAGTTGATCAATAACTTAAACTTGATGCTACCTTTGACCTAGCTATTTGTTTTTGAGTTGCTAAAGGTCAAAAAGAACTGTGTGCATGTACTCTCCTTTATTTTTCCTTAGGATGTTGACAACTTGTTCTAGGGTCAGAGTGGCAACTACAGCTAAGGTCTGCCTTTTCTCCTCCCCCTCCTTTCTTCTTGGTATTCCTTTTCTCTCCTCCCACCTTTCTTAGACTGATCTGGAACTTACTCTGTGGCGCAGGCAAAATTACCTCCCTAGTGCTGAGATTACAGTCATGGCCCACTAACTTGTCATATGCCACTTTTTTGTTTGTTTTATTTTCTTCCTAGCTTTTACTTTTCAGTGTCTCTTAGTTACAGCCATTGGGCATGTTTAGTAACTGGAGAGGTTTTTGAGATGGTATTAAGGTATGTTTTTACCAGAGGCCCTGTTCTGTCTGTCTTGTAGGGCTATAAAGAGACACTTTTCGGAACTGCCTAAATGCGACCCAGCCTCATGCTGAAGATTTGTTTTTGTCCTTGTATACCTGCTGCTGACTGCCAATTTATATGCAAGAGCCTTTGCAGAGAAACTGAAAATGTTTTAAACCTCAATTAACCTGAGCCTTCTGTTTCAGATTTCCATGGCTATTTTGCAGGTTTTTTCTTTGCCCATTGATTTGGTCACAACAAGTTTTGAAAACTTGATAGAGTTGGAGAGATGGTACAAAATTAAGCAGTTTGTCATAAGTTTGTAGGGTTTCTTTAATGGAAATGATGGTTTTAAGGGTTAACTGAGACTATTAGGTAGGTATTGAGGGCTATGTCTATAATTTCAAGACTAGGAGGCTTGAAGGAGAATTGCATGAAACTGATGACTAGTCTGGGCTACATAACTAGAACATGAAAAAAAAATGTGAGTTGTTAGACCCTGTGCACTTCTTTCTAAGGTCCTATAGATACCTTTTCTGCTTGTCTCTACAGTGCTATTGTTTCCCTTGCAGAAGATAGGAGAGGCTGCCTAGTTAGACTTGGCAACAGCCTTTCCTTTGAAGTCTAGATTTAGTATGTCAGCAATTATGATAGTTGCTGTAGATCTTAAACTTCCATTCCTTGCAGGCTTTATGTGCAGGTTTTATTGCCAGCCTATGGTCATAGGGATATGCCATGAAAGGGTTGTTGGGAACATGCTCTACTCTTCTCTGTCTTTCACTTCTCAGTTTCTACAGGTGAGAACATTCCCTCCACTGTATCCTTCCATAATGTTCTTCCTTACCATGGGACCAGGACACTCTGGATTAAAAACGTAAGCCAAAATAAAAATTTCCTCCATTTATTTGTCTCTATATTTTGTCATAGCAATGGAAACCTAAATATCATGTGCTTAGCATTAAGTGTAAAAAATTGTATTCAAGCTGCCTGGCAATGGCAAGTCTGTAAGTAAATGCTATGATCATTTCACATAACGGTAAAGTTTAGGAAGTCAACTGTGTGTTCGATCAATACAACATAAAATACAAGCTTCAAGCAGGTTACACAAGACATAATACCTAGTGGATTATGACTTCTATAAAATTCAAACTGGATGAACTATGAACTGCACAAAATACTAAGTTTTTTGATGTTCTTCCTAGTTCTAACTCAGTTAATATGGTATTAATAAATGATAGTAAATAATACTTTGTGTTTTCTAAAAACTTATTTGTTTTAATTGTATACATGAGCTCTTTTTTAAAAGTTCATGGCTAGGTGTTCTAAGAAACATTTACACCTTGAGTTCCCATGAAAACAGAACTTCGCATTGCAGAAAGGGTATCCTCAGGAGGACCAGGGTCCCCTGCTTCCAAGTGTTGTGCTTTCTCCTGCTTGTGTGTCTGCTCTGCACTGCCTTTCACTGCAGTTTCTTGGTCTTACAACTCCGCAGGTTTATCAGGGGCTGGCACTCCAGCTTCATCTTTATTTTTCTATAGAAAGGTGCAAATCATGTTGGGCCTATAGGAGAAATCGTTATCCTTCCTTTGCAGCCATTTTATACCATCTGTTTTCTTCTCCTTCCTTCTTTTCTGTCAGAAAAGTCCTGGTCATGCTGAGCTTCATTGTGTGCCATTTGTATTTTAGCATGGTTTTATCAGTCCCAGATCCACAAGTTCAACACCTTCTTCGAATATAATACAGGTCCCAAGAGTATCTTCATATTCCCTGGCAAACACATTGCTATCGACCTGCAGGATGGGCCTCTTGGTGTCAATTCCCAAAATCTTGCATTTATTTTTACGCTTGGAGAGAATGTCTGAATCAATTATGCCTAACAATTCTGCCAGAATAAACTGTTCCTCCTCTGTCTCCTCTTCATCCTCCTCTTCTTCATCTTCCTAGCTGGGATCCACTCCTTAGAACTTACTTTAAAGTGGGTGTGATACCACATGTCTTTAATCCCAGCATTCAAGAGGCAGGGGCAGGTGGATCTGAGTTCAAAAATAGCTTTGTCTACATAGTGACTGCCAGGGCTACATAGTGAGACTTTGGATTGTTTGGGGACTGGGGGCATGGGATGATACACGTATTTAATGAATTGGAAGAAAATTAGCCTTCTTTTATTTTCTGTAATTGATGACCATAACTGAGTGACAATGCTATGTCATAAATGTCAGTTTATTTGATTTTAATATGGACAAGGCAGAATGAATTAACAATTTCACATTTGCAAAATAAGGTTACATAGTTCATTTGATTGGGACATAAGTCTATAAGATGAAGGCCACAGGTGTCATATATGTGCAGTCCAGTACTATTCCTTCTTAGAAATGTTTCTGCTGTAAATCATCTTTAATCATCTTTAGGGTTTGGTTGAGAGGCAGAATAACAGAAAACATTCAACTTTTCACACAAAAATTCAAAAGACATGGTTACTCAATGTTACATTTTCTTCTGTCAGTTTTGGTTCCTTATAAACTATTAACTATCACCCTGTGGTTTAATTGACTAAAATATTCAAACCAAAGTTTGAATTCTTTTTAATTTAACTTAATTTTTAATTTAGTATTCTGCCATATATTAATTACATCCCAACCACAGTTTCCCTTCTGATCCTCCAGCCCGCCCCACACACACCTCCCCTCTCCGCTAGGTCCACTCTTCCTCTATTTCCCTTCAGAAAAGGGCAGGCCTCTCAGGGATGTCAACCAAACATGGAGTATCAAGTTGCAGTAAGTCTAAACACATCCCTTCATATTAAGGCTGGATGCGGCAACACCCAGTCTCTGGTTTTGTGGGGCCCACTGCTCAGTCTGAGCATGTAGGCAGGCGTGTGGCTCTGGGCAGGCCACCCAGCGCCCATAGGAAACCTGGGAACTCTTCAGGCATTTAGCTG